CCCAAATTATTCCCCCAAATTTACAAAAAAATAAACTGAAGAAAAATTGAAAGACTTTTTTTCGAAAACTCGCGGCGAAAAAATCCCGCGAATTTTGGAATTAATATTCATTTTTTTAAGAATTCTAAAGACCAAGAATTTTATGCATCGGTGGATCTATGAAAATTTACGGTTGAAGAAAAAATCGATTAATCGAAGGATAAAAAAAATCTGAATGAGTTCACACAGATACTTAGTAATACGCAAAAATGGAAGTGGCGTGCGGTTTTTATAATCTAAATCGACACCCTCGGACCGATATTCTCGGGTAAAAGGATATCAGAAAGTCGGCGTGCGTTCGTTCGTGCGTGCCATTGCCCAGTCGATTCAAGAGCGGAAAAGGGAAATGAATCGGTTTAATACGCGTTACTCTGTCTACCCGGCATACCTATCGAATTACTCATTATCGTTAAATTCATTTTCACATCGGTGATTCATATTTCCCGATCGATCTAGAGCACAGCATGATTGTACGTTAATTTTTGTAAACAATCCCAGGATTTTTTTATTTTGAATCACATGATTTTAGTTGAAAAATTAATTTCCGGTGCAATGGACACCCCGGGTAAAAAAAATTTGGAAAAAATATTCCGATTACAATTTTAACCCGAGAAAGTAAGGATTAAATATCCAATGTTATCACCAGTGCGGAAAGTTGAATTTTTCTAAATATCCACGAAATCCATATTATTTTCTGCGATAATACTGAATTTCCATTTCCGCACGCAGTGCGGTAAATTCCAACTTTACGCACGGCGTGCGGTAAATTGCCATTTCCTCACGGCGTTTGGTAAATTCAAAATTACCGGTAAAAAATTGACAATTTATCGGCAGATGTTAATAAATGGAGTGGCATATAAACCCCCGAATAATAACGTACAAAGTGTCGAGCAGGTTCGTGCGAGCGTGTACGGTGTGGCCAGGGTCGAAGCTGCCTGTTGGATCAGAATCTGAGTCCTCACTGCGTGAGGTGCGCTCGCAAGTGCCCTCAGGCCCCTCACCAGGTCGCGAGCGCACGACCTGTCTGCGGAGCCGACGGAAACACCTACAAGAGCGCCTGCCACCTGCGCCTCGCCGCCTGCAGAGCTGGTCGGGCCATTCCCGTCGCCTATAAGGGCCACTGCAAACGTGAGTCTCTCATTTTTTTTTTCTTCTCTTTTTCCACCTTTTTTTTTATTTATTATTATTTCCCTCTCCCCATTCTTTTCGTCTCTCAAACCTCTTGCTCTCTTCCTCACCACCTCTCTCTTGCTTTTTTCCTCGCCACTTTTTTTTCTCTCTCTCTTTCTTTTTTTTTTATTCTTGTGCACTCTCTCTCTCTGTCTTCTCCTCTGGAGCCAACATCACGGCCAATGCCACGACGAAGTCAAGGACCCTCTCCCTGGCCATCCGAGGAGTGTTATTCGGTATTAAGGTGGGACGCATTTTAAAATAGAATTTTTACAAGTCCCAGTACCCACACCCCGAATCACCAAACCTGGCAGACGGACAGAAGGAGCCCAGCAGGGAGAGATTGGGTGGGGGTATTTGGTTATTTTATTTATTTGGTTATTTTTTTTGGGTGAGTTGTTTTATTTTTGGACGGGATGGTTTATTTTAAACTCGGCGATCGACGCACTGAAGATGTACTTAAAATTAAATAGCAACTGGTGTCACATAAATTATTGATATTATTTTTATAGCATGGATTTTGGTTTCAGGGGGACGCGAGGGATTTTTTCATCAGGGGTGCCGATTCTTGTCTAATTAATTCGTTTTTTATTTCGAGGGTATTAAAAAAGATTTTCATTTTTTCTCTCATTTATATAAAACAATATCAGCAATTGTCTCCCCATTTATTTTTCTCTCGTCGGAGTTACGACTAGAGAAATAAAATTCAATGAACAATCCACTCCTGGAGAATTTCGTATAATTGTTATTTCAATGAATAAAAAAAGCCTGCACTTTCAGCCGCAAATAAAACCCAAATGATTTATGAGAGAAAGCTAAATGACGCGTCCGGTGAAATTTATATTTTATTTTTATATCTGCATATATTCGCACATCCCGGTATAAGTGATTCCAAAAATAATATCCCTCCCCCTTCCTCCCTTGATCTTGCCACACGCTTCAACAACCTGGATGAAGCACACGGTACCACGATGCTGTGTAAACACATCGTATAAGCTGGTATGCAGGAATGCAGGATATGCATTTGGTGTGGCGCTAACGTACCAAAACTCTGTTTACCGTTCCATTTGTCAATATTAATGTCCCCATCTACCGTGTACATAAAATAGTGTAATAAACATTGGATGGAGAGGGAGGTGGATTATTTTTTTTTAATGAATACTTCGAATGTGTACTCGAATACGAGTCCATGTCCTTGTGGCGTCCTTGCCCTGCGGTCATTGACCGCACACCAGGCGCCCACGCACCTTCTGCACCGGTCGCAAGCCCCTCAAATTTTTTTACAAGACACAAATTTTTCTTCATCAAAAAAAAAAAAAAAGACAGAAAACCACATCCACGAAAATTCCTCCCCCTCCCCACCCTCGGCTCTGGGATATTCGCCTGAACCCAAGTTCTCCAAAGACGTCAATTTTTTTAAAACAAAAAATTGTAAAGATTGATTTGAAATTTTGCTAATTATCTCAATCCTCGGAGAATCACTCCGTTCATCCACCCTGAGATCATACCCGGTGATCATGATTTCGTCATTCATCATTGCAATGACTCCTCGCCCCAACGATTGAGATCTATGATTTAGCCTCCTACATGTTTAAAAAAAAAAATCGAATTATCACTGCGCAATGATCCAAGGTTGAGCACCATCTTCTTGCACGAAGCGTCTGCCACCCGATTTCCAGACGCCGTGGATATCTGCACATTGGCCAGCTTTTACCTCTCCAGCACGCGGTGTCGACGGCATTATAGCCAGGAGGTAAAGGACGAGCCACGGCACACTCACTTCGTCCTCCTTCTTCACTTCCCCCCC